ATGTGGCGTTGTCCTGGTGGACAAATCAGGTCAATTGTAAATGGTTTAAAAAATGTTTTATGGTCGATTTTTAGCTCCTGGGCGATGTTACGACTGCTAGCATGCTGGTCAACTTCGATCACTTCTTCGTTTTTATCGATATTTTCGCCTATGTCAAAGAAAAACTGTAAAATGTACCGACTTTTCTCTTTGTTCACTTCCATTTTTAACACTCTGTAACTCACAACTGAATGCGAAATGTCAACCTTCCAACGAGCATAAATCTGAAATTGTTTGATCGATACTTTACGAGAAATCTATCAGTACAGCCATCTGGATATAATGGATATCTTTTCCCCAACCTAATATAAAAGGAATTTGAACTAGAAGGGTACCAAAAGTACTGAAATGTATTAAATATGGTACCCTTTGTATTAAGCATGCATTGTGTACGAAAAGTACACATACTAAATGGTGCTAAATTTGGTATAATTTGAATTTGGGCGAATGGATAGAGCTGGAATCCTGAGATTTGGAATTTAGATTACTGTTGAAGTGTAGGATTGAGTTATGGAATTTAATTGTACGAATAGTACTAAATGCACTAAAGTTGGAAAAATTTGGATTTGGGTAACGTAGAAAGCTGGAATTATGATCACTCTTGGAATGTAGATATGGGGGTAGCTTTTAAAATTCGTACTTATGTGAAGAAAACTGTACCAAATTTGGTACAATTTGATTTTGTGTGAACGGATAGAACAGAATTCCTGAAATTTGGAATAAAAATTACTGTTGTAGGATTCAGGTAATCTTGGAAATTCATACTTATGGGTATGAAAAGTAAGTTGATACAAGTTGGATATAGATGAACAGATAAATCTTGAAATTGGGAAGTAGAATAACTGCTGGAGTGTAGGATTGAGGTAGTTTAGGAAATTCGTACTTTTGGGAACTAAGTGGTACTGAATTTAGTGAAATTGGAAGTACGATTGATATATGAAGGCAGTATTTTCAAGACTTATTGTACTTATTTGTTCGAAAAGTGCTGAATGGAACTAAATGTAGAACATGTAGCTATTTACTAAAATATATAATTGGAATACTGATTACTCTTGAATCTGTATAATGCTTCATATTTCATAATCGGAGGCTCCTAGGGGAAAAGTCATGTTATGATAGAAACTTGAACATACCGAAAAAGAGGTGGGAAAAGATGAAAGAAATTCTCAAAATATCTAATAGTGGGACTACCGTTATATGAGACTATAATAAAACGAGGATCAATATTTATATCCAAAATTCTCAAAATATCTACTTGGGTCAATATTAATAATTGCAGCCAATTCGGTTGAAAAACGTGTTCAAAATCCCCAAAATACCGAATATTGAGGGTACTGACATATGGAGCGTGGACCGATATATCCCATTTGCAATACCAAACACCCTTGGAGTATTAGCAATGTCTGTGTTTTCAGAGCTCTGTCTTAAATATTGCAATCTCTATCATAATTCTATTGTAATCAAGAATATACTTTGTGGATCTCCAGTGAATATTTCGAAGTGTTGCAAACGGAATGACAAATTTAATAAACATTCCACATTATGGTGAATGATATAAAAATAGGCGTTTTCAGAGCTGAAATATTCTTTAAAAATTTGATTTTCAAATATGAATTGAAGAAAAACTAAATTAGGTGCAAAATTAAAACCAAACCAGTAAGAATAGTAGTAAAGTCGGACGGGGCCGAATATATGATACCCTTCACCACTTTCGGTATATTCAACAGATGGGATCCTAACAGACGTCGCATTTTTGAAGGACCATTAACATGAAATTAAACATGTCATTCTGCAACCTATACTAAATTTTGGTCAGATATAGAGTTGCTTCTTACAATGGGACAAAATTATGTAAATAAATTTATTGCAAAATATCGAAATCTAAACCGATTTAATCGAAACTTGTCACATGTTCGGCCACATTTTGAGTTCTTCATTTATGCCATGTTCTGACGGGCATTCGAACAACGTAGTTCGCTCTCAGAATTATGTACCTGAATTAACCCGTTCATACAACACTATTCATAATTCATGTCATCAGAGTTTTTTATTTCAATCTTTTTGTTTCTTGTTTCTTCTAACATATTTGCGTGAATCACATATGGATTTAAATAGAAAAAATAATTCTCTTTCTCCTGACTATAGTATGAAGACATATCTATTTATTTTTAATTCTTGTTTTCCATTTTTTCTGAAAATATTGTTGTTTTTATACATTTTTATATTTTCTAAATTAAAATGTAAAATATAAAAATTTGAAGAATTTTTTTTTTTTTTTTTTTTGAGTTTCCCCAAATTTGTTTCTTGTCCTGCTGCATAGTATATAAAAACTAGACAATTTTTTACATTTCATTCATCATTTTCAATTTTACTAAAAAAGTTTGGAAATTTTATAAATATTTTCAAGCTGTCAAAATTAATTTATTTTCGATAAATTCTCTCAATTGTTAGCGATGGGACATATTTCTTGGTAATTCAGAGGGTGATTCGAATTGAACAATGTATAAAAGTCGGTGTTCGCTCAGAAAATTGTGTATAGTTCCCCATACAATTACTTTATAATTAAGGGTCGAACAACGAATGAGAGAGAGAACAACGCTCGTCTGTACATGACATTACTTATAAATTCAAATTTCGTGCAAATGGAAGAATATATAGGGACTTTGGTGCACCATTTACATAAAATCGGACGAAAATATATATGGGAGCTATATCTAAATCTGAACCGATTTTCACGAAATTTAAAGCACATCGTTCTAGGCTTAATTTAGAATGCTATGCCAAATTTCGTAGAAATCGAAGGATATATAGGGGCTTTGGTGCACTATTTACCTAAAATCGGACGAAAATATATATGGGAGCTATATCTAAATCTGAACTGATTTTCACGAAATTTAACACACATCGTTCTGGGCTTAATTTAGAATGCTATGCCAAATTTCGTAGAAATCGAAGGACTTTGGTGCACCATTTACATAAAATCGAATGAAAATATATATGGGAGCTATATTTAAATCTGAACCGATTTTCACAAAATTTAACACATATCGTTTTAGACGTAATTCAGTACGCTGTGCCAAATTTCGAGTAAATCGAAGGTTTTTAGGGACTTTGACGCACTATTTAAATAAAACCGGACGAAAATATATATGGGAGCTATATCTAAATCTGAACCGATTTTCAGGAAATTTAACACACGTCATTCTAAACTTAATTCAGAATGATATTCCAAATTTCGTGCAAATCGAAGGATATATAGGGATATATGGTGCACCATTTACAAAAAATCGGTGAGCTGTGCCAAATTTCATCCAAATCGGATCACAAATGCGACCTGTACTTCGTTAACAAAAATACATGGACGGACAGACGGACATGCAAAAAACGACTTAAGAAGTGATTCTATGCATATTCTCAAAAGGAACCATGTGTCCATCTCGTTTCTTTTTGCCAGTTACAAAGATTTGCACAAAGACATAATACCCTGTACCACAGTGTGGTGAAGGGTATAAACGTAGCAAATTCAGCACAGGTAAATTAAAAAATTGTTAATATACCATAGAATTTTGCAAAGCAGTTAAAAAATAGCTAATTTAAAGAGAAAATCAAATTGAGCACAGCTAAATTGACAAAAAAAGTACATAATAATGTTTATATTCTACGAAAATATGAATTTTGCACAGCTGAATGAAGAAATACATTTATTGACACTAAAAATGCATATTTGTTATATCACTTTCCAAAGTCGTTCGCTATTTTCCTGATATTCTACCAATATGAAACTAACATTGCAGGTCTTATTTGGAAGACATATTCTTGTTCATATGAATGTTGTAATGACATATTTAGAAAATATAACATTCCAAAAATGCACACCCTTTACAACAAATTGTGCATTGTTTTGAACTCTTAAAGCAAATGCAAAAAACATAACTTCCACTGACGTCTTGGAGTCTTTTCTTGCATTTGATGGTGTCAGTTGTAGTTGTGCCATACAAATGAGTGGCTAAAAAAATTTTATTATTAGCTTGTTATTTGTCAGAGTGTCATAGCTGCTAGTAGTGTTGTTAGCTATGTTTATCATCTTGTAGCAGTTACCTATAGACTAGTCGTTTTTTTTTTGTGGTTGTAACTGAACAATTGTTTAAAGCGTTTATTTTTCATATTTCCATATCAATATATCTGTGGCAGTTGTTATTGCTGCTGTTGTTGTTGTTCGATTTTTCTCATTGTATTATTTGTTGTAAAACACTTTGAGGCAATCACGTTTTAAACATTATTTTAATTGTTTATTAATTTTATGCTATATGCCGCGACCTGGCTATGATCTTTTTCTCATGTTTTTCATCTTTTTCGTTTTACATATTAATTTATATGTATGTAATTTAGTTTGTTGTTTTTTAGCGTCATATTTTTAACTATGTTCTATTTTAGAGTATAACATTTAATATGAGTTTAATTAAAACCGTGTTGTTTGTTGTTTTTTTTATAAAATTAAATTGTAAGAGGTTAAAGTAGTGTTATTAAGTATGTTCTATAACAATAAGGTATCATAACCCAAATAAAGGATGAAAATTGAAGGGGAGCGGGTTGCATTGCCCGTTTGGTATCAAGGTTTAACATAATTGGTCTGTTCCCGTACTGTAAGAATCTACCAATTTCTACTATTTTTAAGATATCATTGAGGAAGTAAACAATTGTACATTCTTGCAGGTTTTGAAACAGACATAATATTCCAATATTAAAAAAAATAGATTATTCTTATCTCTTAACTTTTTTTCACAAAGTTTCCTTTATTTAAAAAAATAATAAATATACTATTATTGTATAATTTTTTTTATCTTTCCAATTCTTACAGTCAATAAAGTAAAACATAATGCCTGCGAATTTATAACAATTCCATACACACAAAAAACTAACTACGCTAACAATCAGCTTTCCAATACACATTCGACCAACAATTATGTGCTCATTAATTTCCTTTTTCGTTCCAATTTCATTTCACGCTTTAAGGCCTTCTGTTCCAACTCCTCAGCATGTTCGGCAAACAGAGAACGCATTACCGGATACATTAAATGGAAATTGTGCAAATCATCCAATGATATTTGCATATTATCAAAGGCTATCGAAACATTCGACATTGTACAGGTATTATTCTCATCCACCGATAAACGTGGCAACTTGGCATAACGTTGAGAGAAATGTGTTAGGATAATATGTTTGGCATTCATTGCCTGGCCCTGTTGTATGGCTTGAGATATTGTGCTGTGCATTTTAATTTTTGCCTCATCGGCCAAATCATCTTCCATGGTGGCTTCGTGTATGAGTATTGTAGAATTTAGACCCAAATCGACAAGATCTTTGCAGGGCATTGAATCACCACTATAGGTCACAGTTATGGGTTCCTCCGGATTTTCCACGGGAGTAATACTTAGCTTAACACCAAATGAATGTGGACAATGTTTGACCATACAGGTTTGTATAGCATCAATTCCCAAATCTTGATGCGTTTCTTTCAGATTCATTGGCTCATCCAACATATCAGCATTGCCAATCAGCTCATAAGCATCTTTTATATTGTCTATACAATTTTGATAGAAATTTAACCAGGGTTCAATTTGTTTTGGTGCCATTACCAAAACTTTCTTTAGATCCTCTTTCAATTCACCTGATAACTTTATGCGTTCGGTTAGCAAACCAATTAAGCCAATATGATGATCGGCATGTAAATGTGAAACATAAATAATTTTCTTTGGTCATGCCAAACATTCGTTGTATCTGACCCAGGGTGCCTTCACCGCAATCCAAGAGGACATAACAATTTTCATGAGATTGTACCAGTATGGAACTAACATTACGTGTCTTGTTAGGTATGCAGGATCCAGTACCAAGGAATGTTATAATGGGATATTTTGCATTTGGACTTTGAGCAGAGGAGGATGTTGCTTTCATATCAACTTTAAGTTTTTCCAACATACCAGGGAAATCGGGTAAAACTTGGGTTTCATTAATATATTCACTGGGTTGTAGTTTGGCTTCAGCTGTTCGATCCAAACCTGAAAGAAAGAAAACATATGTCCTTGTAAAAAATGTGATTTAAAATTATATTATTGTGTTCAATAGTTTTTTTTATTGAAATTTTCTAATTCTTTGAGACCTTTTGTTAAGTTTCCTGATATACATAAATTTTGCACAACGCACTGAAGTTAGGA